CTCACCCGAGTTCACCCGCTGTCTTGGCAGACGGGCAGAATGGTGGAATTAACATAGTTAGATGTGTTCCTGTCGTGGACTAGTTATTGTTGTTGTATGTATGTAACTGTAGCTGTTATATGCTCCCGTTGTAATAAATGCTGTATTTACTATACTGGTCTACTGTTGTCACTAACGATAGTGTTACACTTCACCCTCAATGTCCATGGGATTTCAATATCCGGCATATTATAGTGTGCCTTTAAATTTGTGAAACCAATTAAATTTGTGTTGAATCCCGAGACTGTTGCTAGTAATAAATTTTTAATAAATTTGATTACTTTATTTTAAAAAAGACTTCAAAATCGGTTCATTTCGCAAGGATGAATAAAAGAAACGGGGGAAAACGCCAATATAAGTTGTAAATTTTCCGAAAAAAAGGACATTCCCATAAATCATCCAAAAATTAAAAGAAACTAAAAGCAGATTGGAGGGAGAGCGGGGGGGGGGGGGGTAGGAATTAAACCGCCACTGCCCTGGTTAATCGATATCCCTATTTCGTCCAAATTCGGAAAGAGGCATGTGAATTGTAACCTGCGATACCGTGCGACAGCTTCAAAACACATATTTTTTCCCGCGAAAATTGCCATATTAATAAATTTTTTCGCCACTCCGGGCCCACCATTATAGTAGGTCACAATCATTATTCTTCTACCCTCAAAATCCTCTACCATCTTTCAGAGAATGGTGAAAGATGGTTAAGACTGCATGGCGTGTGAGAAAGGTTTGTGACAGTACCAAAACTATTATAAGCTTACCCTCTCCACTTTGAGGCCCCCGACTTCAGTCTGCCAAGCTTATACTAGTAAAATCCGCCACTGGACATTATAATTATTCAACATATCTGAGCAAAGCTTATAATAATACATAAATATATAAATAAATAAGATACACTGTTCGGTGCTAAAAGTTCCCGCGTAGCGTGTTTCATAATGTCAATCAAAATGTGAGAGAGAGAGAGAGAGAGAGAGAGAGGGGGGGGTAACGTCCACTCGACAGACACAAACTAGCCCATTTCGGGACCAACATATTCAATTTTATTTCAATAATTCGCGGGGAATCGAAATCACGCCATAATTGTTTGAATTTAATTGTTTAAATCGTGTACAAAGGATGCCAATCGTTGCTAAATTTGCAATTCTTTATATCTTTGTAAACACTGAACGGCATCAAACAATTTATTGGACTTTATTTCTAGTGGATTCAACCTTCATAATATTATTTGCAAGGGATTTATTAATCTCATGAATGAGACCAGGCAAAATGAGAGGCGAAAAAATTAATTTAAATTTATATACCTTTTTTAATATAACATTTTCTAACGGGGTACATAATTTATTTCTTTAATTTATCTAACGTATATTTCTAAAAAAATAATAACTCGTTATTTTTAAAATCTGTGAGAATCTGTGTAATAATTTATAAACCGGTAGTAGAACCGGACGTAAATTTTACATTCAGATCGCAATAAAAGAAATGTACTATCTGGAATAATACGACATTGCGGCTCTTACCTAGTTTTAAAATAGCGGTTATCAAATAATCTACCATTTGTTTGAATATTAGTTTCAGTACAAACACGCACTTTACTCGTGGACCAATGGCTAATCGTGTTAACGTCAATGATGAATACTGTTATTTCCACGTAGCTGTGTTTATATTTAGAACAGTGGGTTTATATTATACAGTCACAGTGGCGACTTACGTGGTATATAACACAATTATTCCGTAACACTATAGGCCTAGACGTATAGTCATACATTTCAATAAGTTTAATAAGATTATTTTTAGTTCACCCCTCACTGATTTCTTTGTGATTTGTTTTAAAAATACAGGGCGTATGGATATGCAACTGGTTATTCCAAATTTAAAGCACCAGTGTCAAAATAAAAGTAATACTTTTAGCAATCATAAGTACTTTTATTTTTAAAATGCTGTACCAAAATTATTCGAAAGGGTCAGTTCATTCAAACTTAATTTATGGACAATATAGTAATAATGAGTCATTATAATATTTAGTACAAGCTTCGGATGACTTAATTACATTAAAATAGTGGGGGGTTTTGTTTGTTTGTTTTTTTGTTTGTTTGTTTTTTTGTTTTGGGGTTTTTTTGGGGTTTTTTTTGGGGGGGGGGGGGTGTTTTTCTTTGGGGGGGGGTCTGGTTTGGTGTGACGTTAAATTATATTTTTAAAAGTGGAAGTAAGTCTTGGCTATCAAGCCCGACGGCCTTTTATAATACAAACTTGTTTTGGAGACATTCAGTATATAGGCTTCTTCGTCTCATGACCTTAAACACTGTGTATAAATTTAAAGTCAATCGGATATTAACTTTAGCCTCTAGGGCGTCCACAAGCCCGACGGACGGACGGACGGACCGACGGACGGACGGGGGCGACGACAATATACGAGTAGCTCGTCTTTCGAGTAGCTCGTTTTTCGAGATTCGCCAATATCAAAATACAAGGAGAAAGAGCAGTTTTATGTGAATCCACTGCTCAGGCATCCCCATTTATGATATCTTTAGTTCGTTTTAGAATACTTATTTAATCAAATGTGTTTTGGAGACATTCTGTAGATATACATCCATTAAATCTGCTTTTTTTAGATTCAAGTTTGAATATCGAAAAACGAGTAGCTCGTTTTTCGACATTCGCCAACATAAAAAAAGAGCATTTTCTAAGTGAATCCACTGCTGAGACCTCCTCATTTATGATATATTTAGTTCGTTTTAGAAAACGTATTTAATCAATTGTGTTTTGGAGACATTCTCTAAATATGCATCCATAAAATTTGCTACTCGTTTTTCGATATTCAAACTTGAATCTTAAAAAAGTAGATTTAATGGTTGTACATCTACAGAATGTCTCCAAAACACATTTGATTAAATCAGTTTTGTAAAATGAACTAAAGATATCATAAATGTGGATGCCTGAGCAGTGGATTCGTATAAAAACGGCTATTTCTACTTGTTTTTTTTGATATTGGCGAATCTCGAAAAACGACATTCGCCAATATCAAAAAAACAAGGAGAAAGAGCTTTTGTTATGTGAATTCACTGCTCGGGCATCCTCATTTATGATATCTTTAGTTCATTTTAGAATACTTATTTAATCAAATATTTTTTGAAGACATTCTGTATATATACATCCATTAAATCTGCTTTTTTTAGATTCAAGTTTGAATATCGAAAAACGAGCTAGTTGTTTTTCGATATTCACCAATATCGAAAAACGAAAATCGAGCTAACTTCATACTGCCTGCTAATTACTGGTAGTAATGATATGCCCCTGTAGTTCTTAACACAGTTCCTTTGTCCTTTCTTATATATATATGACATATCATCGCAGTACCCCATTCTGCTGGAAATATGCTTAAATCGAAAATTTTATTAAAGATTACATTAAGAATTGGGACATATGTCGGATATAAACCTTCTCTCCCGCGGATGGATATGATAGAGAACACTTGGGCTTCGGATAGGTAAATATCCTATACAACAAATATTATTATTATTTTTCTGAACACGAACCACTACCTCCTCCCTGGACAGTACTACCATCTCCATATTTCAGTACGTGATCCTAGTTATTTCACATCTCTACATATGATGGGTATTGCGCACGACGCGGGGAATACTTACATTTTAAAAACTATACCCCCACATTTTAAGCTGATAACACAATGAGTCAAACTTGTCAACAATTTTTATTAATAATTTGTGTATTTATACATAGCTACAATCAGGGGCCATAATCCAAGATATAAACACTTATTTTTTAAGTTTAATCAAAATTAGATAAAAAAAAATTGTGACCACTAGATGGTCCACAACCTTGATATTATGTACTTGCGTACTCAACCATCATAATGGTTGTTACGGCAGAATGCTGTTTCCCTTCTTATTTAGTCCTAGTCTGTAATTTGCACGTAACGTAATCCAAATCCGAGTTTCATACTCAACCAGAATTAGCGAGCGCCATTGGCATTGATGTGCAGAAAAACGGCATGTGTATTCGAGACCATGCATTTCTAACGCCTGTTACCCTCTCACAAGTTGTAAGTTTACTTGAGAATTATGTAAAAGTGTAAACAGATATCGCAGATCATTTCCATATTATTTTTATTCACTGTCAATTCATAATTCTGTCAAATTTAACGATTTACTTTTTCGGGTGTTTTTTTCCCCCACGCAATACCGATATTGCTTGTCACGTGAGTGCAATTTCCTCGTCTGCTACATGTAACCATAGAACTAAACACACACACTGATCCGCAGTGAATATTCGCTTGGCCGCTACAATCACTGATAAGGATGACATCGATGCGACTTAATGACTACAAAATATTAACTTTTTTCTTTCGACAAATTAAATTCTGAGACATTTTTTTTTTAGTATTAGAAAAATAAATAAAGGTGTTTGAAGTATATCTTGATAAAAAAATATTCCATATTTAGCGTAAATAGGTACAGAAAATAGTACGCGGAGGCGTAAAATGGGTAAAACGATATAATTTTGCCCGTACCAGTTCATATTACTACGTTTGATGTAAACAACGCACGTGTGACCATCAATTTGACGTTTTTTTCTGTTTGTTTACTCTGAATTCTTTCAGAAGTACATTTTTTACCGTCTAATCTGATTGACCTGCTCGTGTTTGTTTTAAAACAACAAAAACAAGCCACAGAAGTAATCTTTTTTGACGTTATCGATGCCATCTTGCTTTGTTGGTAAACATTGGGATGTGTCGTCACCCTTAATAGAACTACAGCGGTCTGACCTTTTAAAGGTCATTCATCTTGGACAGAGACAAAAGACGGATGTCGCATTAGGTCTGTAAAACAGATTGCTAAATACACTGGAACGCCAACGAGCGTCTACTTCCGGTAAAATTTGTGGCTGTGTGACGTACTTCGAAAAAGTGCACAGTTTACTTCCGGTATCTTGTTATTATCACGTAATTTTGTTAGCCTGATAATGTTGAAAGCAAGCGAGTGAATTGGATTAAATATTTTTTCATTTGTGCCTCACTTCAAACAAATGTTGTGATCTTCGCTCATCATTTATTATTGATATAAAAAAAAATGTCATAAATAATGCAACAGGGAGAGTTGTAAAATGACGAAGAACTGGAAGCGACGACGTCGACTGGCTGCCAGCACAGTACAATTTACAAACTGCGCACTGTCTTTATAAACAGGTATGTTGAAAATTCACTAATGTCATTAGGCCTATAATTCATACAATCAAGTCATCGTTTTTTTTTGAGAAAACATAAATGAATCGATTTACAAAATAATAATGTAATGACTGGTTTAAGTCGAGGACAGAATTACGTACCAAACCCTTTTGTTTACTATAGACTTATAGAGGCCTGTCAGGAATGTGAATGAATTTCAAAAAGTTGATTTAGTAATATTTCAGTGAGCACAACCATACTTCTAATTTTACAATATTGGGGTACTAATAAAATAAAAGTACACAATAATGAATACTGGTATTTTGTTTTTAAATTTAAATTATTTGATCTAATTCAAAGAAAAATGTACAAATGGAATTTTCCTTTTGAATATTATTTCTTGATTCACATGATAATCAAGAAGAAAAGGATATCAGATTTGTGTCATTGAAGGAGTGGATTTGTATATAAATTAAGGCCTTGTTTGAGTAAAATTAAAAGAGCTATCAAGTGAATAATGCTGATTGAAGAAAGATTTTCTTGTGCCAATTCCCATGGCATTACCTGAAATCGGTCGTACTTTCTTGGTATTGAGTCTGATTTGAATATAAACCCATCTGTAAAGTCATAATCTGTAAAATCTGACGCCAACTGCCTTTTTAATTTATGCATAAATTATATTAGTATAACTAAAACTGCATTTCTCTTTATTCAACTGTAAAATTTATTTGTAATTTGTAGACACAGAAATCCCTGAAGGAACTCTATTTTATGTTCAAACATACTACTACTACTACTACTACTACTACTAAAGTAGTAATTAATATGTATTTTTTTTTTCAGACCAATAATACAAAAGCCATTGTATTTAATTTTATGAAGAACTTTCATTTGATGTGAACAAGGAATTTCTAGCATGGAAGAAGGACAATAAAATATAATTCCTAAATAACCACCCGCACTGAGTGTTGATTCATCCCTAAATCCTAACTTTAAAATAGTTGTTGCACTGAATGAAAAGCAGGCTGTTATGCGAGTGCCTGAAAGACTTTGAAATATATTTCTTGTGAAGAATTGGAATATAGACTCAGCTATCAGCTATCAGGTTCAATGTGAATGCAACTAATCTATGGTATATTTTCTTGGGCAAATTTTTGAGATCCTAAAAACATTAGCTTCACACAGTGTCACTTCACTATAAGCATAGTTAAGAATAGTAATGTCTTTACATTTTGTGGGTCTCTATTATATTGCAAATACACATATTATAAACGTTTAAATCCACAACTTTTCATATTTCAAATTTATTATTTCCTTTTAATAAAAAAAAAATTATTTCATTCTGATTCACAGTACTTGGTGCCAATCCAAACTTAGTTTTGATATTTAATGCACTCCTTCATGCTTCCATAATACAGTATATGCAATGCTACCTGATGCACCACTGACAAAAGGGGAAAACAGGCAATTTTCTCAACAAACATCTGAATCAAAATCCAAATCTCCTTGATAGTGGGCAAACGCCTTCCTCCCTGTAAATGTCAATTTATTTTAATTTTATATATCTTCATAACATGCTAAGAGAATTCTGCCTGCATATTTTGACCTTTTTTTGACAGCTGATCACTGTTTTAGAAATAGGTAGGCCTATATAAAAATGAGGCCTAGTAGGCCTATATTATTTTAATTTTGCAAATCTTCACAAAATGCAGTGAAATTGTCTGTCTGCAAAATCCAAATCTCCTTGATAGTGGGCAAACGCCTTCCTCCCTGTAAATGTCAATTTATTTTAATTTTATAAATCTTTATAACATGCTAAGAGAATTCTGCCTGCATATTTTGACTTAATTTTTGACAGCTGATCACTGTTTTAGAAATAGGTAGGCCTACATAAAAAATGAGCCGTAGTAGGCCTATATTATTTTAATTTTTCAAATCTTCAAAAAATGCAATGAAATTTTCTGCCTGCTTATAATGACTTTTTTTTTGACAGTTGATCACCTTTTTTTAGAAATATGTAGGCCTATATTACAAGGCCTAGTAGTATTTTAATTTTACAAATCTTCATAACATGCTCCGAGAATTCTGCCTGCATATTTTGACCTTTTTTTGACAGCTGATCACAGTTTTAGAAATAGGTAGGCCTATATAAAAATGAGGCCTAATAGGCCTATATTATTATAATTTTGCAAATCTTCAAAAAATGCAGCGAAATTTTCTGCCTGCTTATCAAGACTCCTATAGATATTTTTTTATTGCATTTTCTTTATGAAAATTCTAGAGTTATGTCGTATTACTCGTATAGGAATTAATTCTGTAGTATTCCATAGTTTGGCAATTGGATCACTACAGTTCTCTGTTGGAATAGAATTAGGCTGCATTCCATGGGCACAAATTGTCGTTGCAAAAATATTTTCGTTCCTACAAATCCGGTCTAGAAGAAATTTTGTCAGTCTATAGTTCATATAGAGATATTCGTTTGTTGTAATGTTCCCCAAAAAATTCCATAGTTCTTCGGTGATAGTCTTCGTTGAAAGCCCGACTATTTATTGATAGTAAAATTCATAGTGCGCGAGGTCACTGGACAGAATTCAGCGTTGTTCGCCGCGTCACGTGATCGTTTTTTCCACAATCGACCAATCACGTTATTGTCAACATTTGCGTGTGTTGTTGGTAAACACAAAATGGCGTGCTTCACAAGGAATACATTGCAGTTATATGTAGAAGCTACACTAAATGGCGACAAAGGCTCAATTAACTTGTATTGTTCACTTAGACAGTGTTAATAAGGGAAGTGCAGAACCCTTTACAAACACCAGGTGAGATAAATGTCGTGAGGTAGCTATAGACTGGTTTCAATTGGATGGAAATGACCAATCCATTGCAGCATTTTTCGATACAAATGGATATTTTATTACGAGGGATATTATATTGAAGATACAGTCGGCAGTGGTTTTATATTTCATCCAACGTTTTATAGATGTTTTAAGAACAAAACAGTTAAATGATGCGAGAAAGAAAGAGAGTGACTCAGTGATAAGGCAGCGTCTTCATTCAGTCCAACCGAAACTAAACTGTCACGACATACATACAGACTATTAGTATTAGTATTACTGTGATGTGGTCATAATATATTTTGACCAAACATTATTTAACAACTTACTGTTAGTATATTAATACTAATTCACTCATAACATAATATTTTAAACACGGTTTCACCAAACCTTCAACAAGATATGACCACTTCTATTCCAACTAGTAGAAGTAATAAATAAATGTAATAAATAAAGGTGCATCATATATAGGCTACAGACCATAAGTCCAGAAAAAATTTGTGAATGAAAGAATTGAATATAACCATCCAAGTCAACCCAGAACATTGCATGCTGTGATTCAAAGGAAAGAGGGGATACAATTTAATCAAAGTTTTTGATAATCCCTAATTAAGTCTTTCACACCCCACTGATAAAGTAACATGAGCTGAACATTAATGTCCAGTCGACACAGTTCCTTTTTATTTAAATAATTTGCTTGCATGTAAGGGTCTGTAGCAGAGGAAGGAAACTGGGGGACTCGGAGAAAACTCACAAGGTTGAACAAGTGACCCTAGTCCTTGTCACGTACATGCAGAGAATTGAAATTAAGTCATTGACGCAATGACAGACCTTATGATTTTATGTGTACATGTTGAACCATTCGCCACCCACCCTCCATATTAAATAGATGTCTTTGTAAATTATGTATGTTATAGTTATACAGTGTATTAAGTATTAAATGTCTACAGTGTTTTTAAATTTATGTATTAAAGAAATGTATATGAAAATATTATCTATTAAGAAATATTGGTATTTATATTATGCAATATTTATATTAATAAATATCATTTGATACATAATATATCAAAATTCAAATGTTCTTTTTGGCCATTATGACCCTAATGTTTTGACCGTTATGTAGTTTTGACCAAAATGTTTGACCGTTATGACCAAATACTTGAGCCATTTTGGTTTAGGGCCTTTATGTCCATAACCCCTACTACTAGGCCTAGTACTTCAACAAATTTAAAAACTAAAAGTGTGTTGCATTCACCCCTACTCCTTCATTAATATCACCAAAGGAATCACATCATGGTGCAGTACTTGTTACTACTTCATCAGAGTTAAAGAAGTCAGTTTTATCAGAGATCTGTATAATTTGCAAGAAATAATCCAAGTATGTTCGAGCGGGGGCCATACAAAAGAGGGACAATTTAGTCCAGTGCGAAATAAAAACAGCATTTTTATTATTTTATTTAAAGCACCAATAACACTTTTGCTGTTTTGATAAGTCCAGTGAAACAAATACCGGTAGCCTTATTCTAACTACTCGATGATTACATGTAAACTATGTCGTAGGTGAGCCCCATATTGATGGGGGGGGGCATCTGGTTCATTCGTAATTGCAGACAAAACCCATTTTGAATTCATATATCTATTGTAAGCTTATACATTGTAGATGCAAATTTTATTTTGTCCATATGGGATTTTCCCAGAAAATTCTGAGCTAGTTCAAATTATTTAAGCATTTCTTCTTAATATTTCTGCAACTTTTTAAGTTTTCAACCTTTATTTCAAAATATGTTTTTTCATTCTTAATCTTAGCTATACACTAGCCTATCCATGATCATTATCAAGACAGCAGACTAGACAGGTTTTAAGTATTTTGTTATGTAAAATGAATGATTTTATTAGAATTACACTTATAGAAGCAGTGACCTTGTTGCATTCTCTGTAATCTCCCTTGATATTAAGGCATTTTTCTAGTGAAATAGACCGGTCCAATATCCTTAATCAGTGTCGAAAAAACCTGACTGACTGCCACATTTTATGTCAGTGTGATCAAAATACCTTTTGTGGCTCTCATACACCACTTCTCTACACGGATGGGACGTTTTTGGGGTTCATTTGATCTCTGTTCGTCCCATCCGCGAGCGATTTGCAAGGTAAATCGTTCGCATGGCTTTGTTTACAAATGCTATGACCTGGCACTTGACCCCAGAATTTTTTACCGCAACCCTGCTGATTGGCCAAATTTTAAATAGATGCGCAGGATCCAACTCACATCTACGCAAATATGGCTGCGCACTATAAAGAAATAAGTCATCGATTTATAGCCTATTTCGAGCTTGAACTATTAAATTGGCAGATTTTATTGGAGAACTTTGTTGACATATTGATTGCACGATTATTGATAGTCCGATTTGTAGACCAGTTTAGCGGGAGCGAAGGTGACAAGATTTTCACCCCGAGAAGACGGCCTAAATGGGTACTACAGAATTCTATAGACTTTTTTTTATTAATTCTTATTTTGGGAATAAATATAATTGGCCAATGATTTATTCTAAATTGATAAGCTTATTTTTTCTCTCATGAATTAATAATTGCCGCATGATTTGACACCGGCACTTGCCGAACTATACAAGCCAAAGGCTACTTTCAAATACAAATTTAACAGAATTTTATTTTGTATTTCATTGGAATATTTCCAAATTAATATTTATTTTAAGAAAATTCAGCCAACACTTACGTCTAAAATGACATCGATAAACTGGAATTCCAAATACTCCGCCATAGCATCAGGCCTACCAGAAATAAACATGGCACTTTTATCTTCGCGCATGCGGGGACGAGCATAATTCGCTCTAACAGGCTCGTTGGCATTCCAGTGTATTTAGTTCTATGATGTAACTTTGTATTCCTTGGTAGGTGATGCATTGCATATTATGAGTTGTTTTAGCGCCAGCAGCACTCTCCAATACTTATTACTTATTAGTTATGTAGAACATATATGTTACAGAGTTTATTGTAAATACATGCATGTGTATTTTTATCTTTTCAATGAAACCGTTCTTCATTTGTTTGTTCTTCGTTCGTTCTTTCATCGTTAGTTGTAACCAGCTGTAATGTATCATTTGTTCAACGTACTGTTATTGTAAAGTTTCATAGTACACAATCATCCAACGTACACAATCATCCAACGTTCATGTATTCATTAACGTAATACCTTCATTGTCATCATGTTGAACGAGTTTATCAAACATGGGTACAGGAATAAACGAATAACGATTGATTTTCTACTTCCTTATTTTATTTTTAACGAACCGTCATTGCAGGGGCAGGTGTAGCGGTTATATATAATATATTTAAAAGGTTTTTAAACAGGATAAAAATTGTGACATCTAAAGAGGCCACACGCTAAAGACGCGATTTTTTGTTCAACTAGGGGGTCATACTCCAGGCAATTACGATCTGATAAGCGCAAATATCGAAAGGAACCAAGATCAGTGGCAATCTGAACGACAGATCCACCCTACCTGCAGAGCCAGCTACTATTTAATTTTCGTACGATAGTTACGTACGGATCATTGGGTTATAAGTTATAAAAATATATCTCAAGTTTCATGAAAATCAGATAAAAATCATACTATCAGGGGCCATAATCCATGAACTTACGATCCGATACATTGCCAATATCACAAGGAACCGCGATCATTGGGAGATAACCTATATTTCAAGTTTTGTCAAAATGGGATAAAAATTGTGACCAGTAGAGTGTCCACAATCAAATTGTGGGTGGATAGGGGCGACGACAATATATGCCCACATAAAAATGTGGGAGTATAAAAAAGGGAAGCATTTTTGTCATCACCTGATATTTATCAAAAAAAACAATTCCTTTATTTATTTCTGGCCTAGATTTTTGGCTGGACTTAAGGCATGTGCCTTATATTTGCCGAATATAGATGAGATTACTAAAGCAGGCACGTTTCATCTCAATGCCTTCTTATTTTATTTACAACAAGGTGGTGGTCTTCTCTAAGTGTGGATCAAGTTCATGAAAACCACAATTTATAGAAACATCATGAACAGTGAATGTACAGTTATGGAGGTTGATATCCAATTGCTAAAGGCCCGGTCCCAGTGGCCGATGGACACAAAACGTATGCAAAAAGGACACAGCGGGCGAGCAAACTTTCGGGGGTGGCTCCATCCGTTTTCATCCGCTCCAGAAATGGACAAAATTGACGAAAATTTGCGAAAACTGAACGGAAAAGAACGAACGAGGGAAGTATGTAGCGGGGATGTTAAAAGGATGTTCATTGGAAGTCTAGCGGATGGAAGTGGATGACAGCTTCGGCAAACTCCCGACATCCTTCAATATACCAGATACATCCCAGATACAAACGCTTTGTCCGTTTTGAAAACTTTATATACAAGATGCATACGCTTACATCCTTTCTATTTCCGTGCTACTAAGGATGTATAGACGTTCCATGTACCTTATCTTCCCTCCCTCTTTCCGTTTTCAGCTGGAGCGGATGTCAGTTGCGAGGATTCCCAGAGGATGCAGAAAGGATACAGTGGACGTTTAACGGATGATAACGGACATGGAACGTTTGGTGCTCGTATATGTCGCGCATTTACATCGTACACGGCAGAAAGCTCTTCCGTTATAAAAGTTTTGTGCAGCTCAAAACTTTTTGCGCGTATGAAATCGATGTGAACGGATGTTCGATGGATAGAGCCTATGAAACACGTATGCAATGAGTACACAACGGATGCATGGCGTTTTCAAACGGAGGGCACGTTTTTTTCCCCGTTTAACATCCTCTTTGCATCCGTAAGTGCAGTGGGACCGGGCCTTAACAATTTGCCACGATTTAGAGAAAAATTATGGACTGGATCATAGAAATTAAACAAGGTTGAGCTAAGTGTTGTGAACTTACAGTTATGGAGCCTGATACCGTCTGCCACATTTGTATTGTGCGGGCTTCATGTAATACGACACAAAAACTCATAAAGATTTACACACTATTTAAAGTGTTGCCGCCTAATCGAATCAACATCTATGCCGACGAGGGGTGGATGATGCGTTGATAAGCATGCCTACACAATCCTAATTAAGTGCCTTGCAAATTCCTTTGCGATTGGAAACATAACAAAAATGGACTGATAGGGTTACTACTTTATGCACCCAAACTACCATGAATGTCTTCAATATAATTTCAGGTTCAGATTCCTTGAATGTGGCGCTTAATAAACCAACAAGGCAAAGTTCAACGTACTATGGCGTTTCAGATAAAGTTGTAGATGGTAATACTAATCAGGATTGGTCTGGGGGAAGTTGTACACAGACTGATGACGATAGAGCAACAGAATGGTTGTGTGTCGATCTAAAACAGAGTTTTGATATCAGTAGTATGAAGATATTTAACATATTAGATGACGGTACGTAAGATTATAACTAAACGGAACTGTAAGATTTGTAAGAGCATAGTAACGACTTTACCTTTTTGAAACTTTGTGCCTGAAAGCAGAATAATATCTGATGATTGAATATTAGAACAATAGTTTACAATTTTTACGTCGTTGTTTTTAGATGTGGAAATGGCGCCACTGAGTGACTGATTGATTGAAAAACAAAGCATTTGTCTCATAAAACATGATATTAAGTTTGTTAAGATTTTGCTCCTGCAATGACGATCCGTTGTAAGTATTTAGGTTACGAAGTGCACGTAACAGATCGATAGTCTTAAATTCCCACCCAATTTATTGGTTACAATATGCCAAGTACTTTAAAAGTGTTAATATTAATAGAGTGGGTTAAACAAATAGTAAATGTGGCAAGAATTTAATTTCTGATTATTTTCAGCATTATCACATTATTGTTACATACATTTCATATTGTTTTTAAATTGTTGTTAGATGTGATACAAGCCCCACTGAGTGAGTTACATACAATTTATATTGTTTCCAGATACTGACACAATGATAGGATTTGAGATTGGATTGAGTTCTACTGGTAAATGTGATGAAGCAGGTTTTAGATCAGCTACACCATGTTATAAAGACCACACGTCAAAAGGACAATCTGTATATACCATAGAGAGATGTAATCAACCACCTGTACCATCATTATCGGCTAGATATGTTTTTGTTTCAACACATAAATATTTGACGTTATGTGAAGTACAAATATTCACAGGTAGGTCTATTACTGATTCAACAGTTTGCCAGTTTTGGAATAGGATAAGATAAGCAACAATTAGCAATCTTATTTCCAAATATGTCATTATAAATGAGGCGCCCCCCGAAATTCTGAGACGCCTCATAATGACTCACACGATCACCACCACAATTTAATTGATGGGGCACCAAAAAACGGCCTAATCTGTGGGGTGTCTTATCCCGGAGGGAGCCCCATAATGACAAGTTTGGTGGAGGGCCTTATAATGACAATATATTATTGCCAGGCCATACATAATGCATAATGCCGAGTCAGATTGGGGGGCGCCCATACTGCCGAGTGAGGTTGGTTAGGCGACCACAAATGAATTGGTCGCCCAAAACGGTGTGATAGTCTGGAAAAATTCGCACTCTTAACTCGATTGTGAATTTTCGTTTATCTCTTAAATTATTATAGGTACGTTCAAGTCGTTTTCCTTCCTTCAAATTTAAAGCTCATATCAAATTCATGTTGAAATTGTCCGTCATTTTCAGGTGCATACCCGATTTTCCAAAATTTTATGGTGGGGGGACCCTTGAACTTTCGGAGGTGCTCCACGGTACAGTTTACCGTGGACCGTCGAGTGTGTACATCAACGCCCCCAGAAGCCGCACCGACGCCCCCAGAAGCCTTTGCCCAACCCCCTAACAATTTTGGGCTAGCTACGAGCCTGTATCGTTACAATTCACGACAGGGGCATTACCCTCTGGCATTGCTCAAAAACCATCTTGTCACTGCAGCTCCTCCAAACTTTGAACCAATAAAATTCCATTTGAACACCCGATCAACATGAAACTCTCCATCTCTGTAATTCGTCCAAGAAAGGATTTTACACAGTTTGTCTGCCATATATATATATATATATATATAACACTGTAAGTGATAAATTCATATATATATATATATATATATATATATGAATTTATCACTTACAGTGTTATAAACGAATAGGGCTCATACATAACACCCTTGCGTATTCCCTATAAAATAGCTTTATTATATTAGTAATTATAATAATAATTTTGATATAATTAGTGACATAATCCTTTATATATTATTCTTCCTTTACTGAGAGAGTATACATGTTTTAAACTTTATATTTACTCTAGAAAATTGTCCTGATTGATTTTACGGTACCGATTGTAACATTAGATGTCCAGCGATTTGTACAAACAACGTCTGTGAGAAAATGTCAGGATCATGTTCTAATGGCTGTCAAGGAGATCTTTATGGTAGCAGATGTGAATTTTCATGTAGCACCAGATGTAAGAATGGTAAATGTAATGCCACGATAGGGTCATGTACAGAATGTGAAGATGGTTACTATGGTGAATTCTGTGAGTTTGCATGCAACATCAATTGCAAGGATGATAAGTGTGATAGGAAGACAGGGAAATGTACCGGATGTAAAGATGGTTACTATGGTAATTTGTGTGAGTCTACATGCAACACCAGATGTAAGAATGGTAAATGTAATGCCAGAACTGGGAAATGCACCGGATGTAAAGATGGTTACTATGGTAAATTCTGTGAGTCTTCATGCAACACCAGATGTAAGAATGGTAAATGTAATGCTAGAACTGGGAAATGCACCGGATGTAAAGATGGTTACTATGGTGATGTGTGTGAAGAATCATGTTCTTCCTGTAATGGTCCATGTCGACAATTAGATGGTGTTTGTTTGACTGGATGTAAAGATGGATATTGGGGATGTAATGGTTTGTGTCTACAGACATGTTCCTACTGTAATACAGGAGGCTGTAGAATAGAAGATGGCGTATGTCATAATGGTTGTCAAGTTGGTTTCTGCAATCCGAAATGCTTCAATAGAACAAGTAAGTCGTGTTTCCTGGCCATTCTCTATATAGATCCCTTTTCAGTGGCGATTCTTGTTGGCCTTGAATTATCGAAGTTTTGTTGATTAAGAAGTAGAAGGATATGAGAATTAACAGATAGTTTCCGGTTATTTCTACAGTTGATAGTTACTTTCAATAAATGTGTATTATCAAAGCTTTCACAGTCAGTACTAGCTTGTGACAGAAACATTGTCAGATATTGCTCCACTTGTGATATTAAAACTGTGAACAATACAGTCAGTGAATATTGTTAGTAGAGTTATCTACCTTGCCTCATAATGCATGATATATGAGATTTATTTCCTGAAGGAGTGCAACTCGTTATTGGCTTTAGCTAAAAAGTTCCACTGACCATGCTTAAACCGGGTGTCTGGGTTGTTATGTGGTTGATTATCCAGTAGAATTTCATCAAACGTTGACAACTGACCCAGATTCTTCGTACGTTGAAGACTAGAATGTTCCAGGTGCCCGAGACTATGTGGGGATGGGTGTATCAAAACTCCGAACGGCGTCTAAAATTATTGTTTCGTATTTGTTCTTAGTTTTTATATTTAATATTACTTGTGTTTGGTTTTCAGGTCCTTGAAATTAACCCGAGCAGGCCATTACCAAGAAATGAGGGAGGTGATAAGAAAATCAACAATGGTGAAAAACGAAGGAAAAATAAACAGCTTTATTGTGAAAATACATGTTTCAGTATTTCAAATAAATTTAATAAGCATATACATGTAAAGTAGAAATTATGGCCCAATTAAAGATTTTGCGACTGGTGGGTATAAAATATAAGTTGGTTTTGAAAATATCCCATGTTTTTGTTTAATTTTTACTGGTTTTTGTTCTTGCAATCAATCAATATGATTATATTTAAAGGGATAATAACACTCTTGCTGGCTTGAAATCTCCAGAAAATATATAATATCTCTATCTAAGTACTAGATGTTTAACTGTCCTGCCTGTTGTGTAAATTATCCATTACATCCTATTTTACTTGTCCAGAGGGTTCGAAAATAATTTTAAATCGAAGTTTCATTTGAAAAGGTTTACGTTAGACGTTTCAAACCATTATGTTGAATTTTTCAAAAAATTTTAAATAAGGTGTGTTAAGATGAAATTTGTATCATCAATTAATTGAAATATTCTAAAATAGTACAATTTTGTTGACCAGAATAAAGATTGGGACATATTATTCAGTTACAACAAGAGTGGTATTGAGCCTTTAAATACTACGACAATTTTCTGCACTTATTGTATATTACTGTGAATACAATTTAAATTTTAAGACTTTTATAACATAAAGTAAAACTCTTATCTGAATAAAACTTTAACACAATTCGTCTTGTTTATTTTATTTCCTGTTTGTTATGTTTTGGTGTGAGCTTATACAGGGGAGACCCAGGATTTATACATTTCATTCAATTGTAAGATAATTTCGTTTGATGTGATGAAACTATGGTTTTTAAATCGAAATATACTACACTACCTTAAACACTGGATCAGAGATAGCGAAATGGGGCTTAAGGTCCACTCGTAAAAATCTAGACCATTTTAGGACTGACATATTCAATTTTTTTCAATAATTCGCTATCGCGTAGGGGTCTTTAGCAGTGGGGGGGGGGGGGCGTAGGACCCGGAGAAAACCCACGACATTGTACAGGCTACTCTACTCCTTGTCACGTACAACCAGGGAATTGAAACCGCCCTGTCCATCTTCATGATGAATACCCAATCTGTAAGGTTAATAGATCAACGTAAGATAAAAACAAATATACACGCTGAAATCCTAAGGAACTGGGTAGGGGTGTGCACTCCTCGGTGAGAACATATTTGTGGGACTGTAAAGGGAACTAGCCACCGTTTACTCTATCTGGAAACTGGTATTATTCCCTTCTATGAAAGAAGAAAAATGCATAAACTGCAGACAATATATAAAATTATTAATGGAACGGTTCCAAATTATTTATCCAACCACATTAAATTAAAAACATCTCCATATAATCTTAGAAGTAAACCAGAATTAGATGAAATATTCTGCAGAACATCTCTCTATTACAATTCATTCTTTCCATCAGCTATCCGACTCTGGAACAGCCTAAATCCTTCCATAACAAATGTCTTCTCACTCTCAAAATTTAAACAAGAACTGTCTAAACATGATCCGAAAATACCTCTCTTTTATTATATTGGCAAACGTAAAAATCAAATTATACATACTAAACTAAGACTAGGCTGCAGTAATCTAAATTTTCATAAATTTACAAGACATATTTCAAATACTCCCGAATGTTCATGTGGTAATTCAATAGAAGATCCTTATCACTATCTCCTTATATGTTCCTCGTATTCAGATGCTCGCCACAGAACAATCGACACTTTACCTCATACACAACAAAACATTAAAGTGCTATAGACCGGAGGCTCAGCGCGCGCGGGGGTGGGGGGTGTGCATCAAATGGGTTTGCGTAGAATACGATGCCAAGTGGTAATCAGTCCGCCGTTGGGGCGTTTTCGAGATATTCGGGGTCAAAGGTCAAATGAGTTCATTTGCACTGAAAGTGAATGTGCAGTCATTCTTGTATTATGAAAAGAAGCTGAAAATGATCGAAAGTAATCACACTTTCAATAAAAATGTAAACTTGCTAAATTCACCTTTAGTCTTAGTGACCCTGGAGGTCAAAAGGTGAAATTTACCGTTTTTGCACTAGGAGGATTTAAAGCAATAAAATGTCAACGTAAAGTATAAAAATTAAAGCGAAACCTGTTCTAATTAATAATAGGAACATTTCAAATTTATCTTTAGGTGGTCTTAGCAACGAACTTTTATACTTTGGAACGTCGAAAATGATCTTGCAAAACAGAACCAACACACTTTGAAACCTGTTTCAAAAATACGTAAAAACTGTCAAATCGAAATCTCTCCGATTTATTTTCACAACGATTGTTATACATAATGATACTAGTTATCTGAAAAACAATTGAATAGTTTCAGTGTTGGACTCCAGCCTGCAGGCCGCGTGGATTTCCGAGAATCCCAGTCTAGGAAAACCGACGTTAATCTGTGACGGGAAAACACGCATCTGGCGACGAGATTAAAAGTTTGCAAACATTTTAGGAGTTTTT